CGCTGCCTTTATCAACGAGTACCCCCGTGCAGCTGACCTGCCTGGGCCAGTCGGCCTGGCCCTCCAGCGGCGTCCCTGGGGAGGGCCGCCCCCCACATGCATGTCTGCACAGGCCGCTCTGCTTTACAGCTTTTAATCGAGTAGGTTCAATTCTGAACTTGCGCCCGGAGGTAATTTCATTGTGACGAAAGCAATTTCATAAACCAGATTTTTAAAACCCAGTCATTTGTAACGGGACTGGCAAAGAGCCACGCTCTACGCTTGCACACAGCTCTGCCACCTCTGAGGCCAACGTCGCAGGTACAGGCGTCCCCACAGCACCTGCCAAGGGGGCAACTTCGTGCACAGAGCCCCGGGTGGGGGGCAGGGGCGGGGCCGCAGGGGAAGCAGCAGGTGCCAAGGTCCTCCCGGTGGGCCAGCCTGTGTTTCAGGCATCCCCTCCCCCTTTCTTTGGCCATCAAGTATCCCCTCTTAGAGGGATTATTGATCATTCACCGTTCCCAAATCGCAACTGCCCCGCTTTTCCGGCCAGAGTTTTAGAGTGAGCTCCCTTTAAAACGGTTTCATTATTTTTAATGCTATTTTTTAAAGACTAACCACTGACAATGAGGAGAGTTTAAAATAGAATTTTAGGCTTCCAGATTTTAATGGGCCTAGAAAAACTCCATTGTTAACTCAGAAGCAGCTGCATACATCTAAAAAATCACTTTGAGATTTGGCAGGGTTTCTTAAGAAACTTGAGGCTCAGCAAAAAGTTCAATACATTATCCTGGAAAATCCCCCCAAATGCTCACGAACTAAACTTCCAAGAGAATTCAGCCCATTCGATGCATCGGGGAGCAGCAGCTTTGTAGCAGCCAATTTACAGGAGTGGTACCGTCAACAGCCTGTGAAAGCACACGGTGAGGGCTGCCTAGCACCGCCACGAGCCGATGGCTCAGCTAAGCACCAGGCTGCCTCGCCTCTGCTCTCGAGCGAAGGCCTGCGACAATAAGATGTTCAGCCACTGACAGCATTCGGGACTCAGGGTTCCCAACATTAGCCTGCTGTCAGAACCTCCATGGAGCTTTAAGACAAAGAACAGGGGAAGGGGGTGGCACTGGGCACAGAGTTTAACACACCACTCAGGCTGTCTTCATGCCACGTCACAGTGCCTAGGTTGGAGTCCCAGCTCCACTCCCAAGCCCAGCTTCCTACTAACATACACCCACAGAGGTGGCAGGTGATGGCTCAACTATGTGGGTCCCTGTCACACACGGGGGAGACCCCAGTTGAGCTTCTCGGCCCTGGCCATGGCAGGCATTTGGGGCATGCACCACCAGACGTGTGGTCTCTATTTCTCTGTCTTTTAAATATGTAAATTTTTAAAAGACTGTACTGCCTTTTTTTTTTTTTTTAAAGAGATTTATTTACTTATTTGAAAGTCAAAGTTACAGAGAACGAGATAAAGACAGAGAAAGAGATCTTCCATCTGCTGATTCACTCCCCAGATGGCCGCAATGGCCAGGGCTGGGCCAGGCCAAAGCCAGGAGCTTCTTCAGGGTCTCCCACATGAGTGGCAGGAGCCCAAGCACCTGGGCAGTCCTCTGCTGCTTTTCCCAGGCCACGAGCAGGGAAGCACGAGTGGAAGTGGAGCGGCTGGGACTTGAACCAATGTCCATATGGGACACTGGTGTCACAGGTGGCGGCTTTACCTACTAGGACACAATGGCAGTCCCTAAAATAAATTATTAAAGAACAAGCCACCCCTGGCTTCCACCCCAGAACTAAGCAGTGCCTTAGGGGGCGGAAGCACTTAGGCCCCCAGGTGAGTGTAACGGACAGCCAGAGCTGGGCACCACAGACGCAGCAAGTGGCATCAGGCGGTGAGAGGGACAGGGGACGTGTGTCCTCAAGTGCTTGATTTGATGCCTGCTCTCTGACAGAGAGACGCAGCAAGCTAGAAATGGACTTGAAGGCTCAGAAGGCGGTGCTACCTTATCTCCAGAGTGAACGAGGCCACGGCTTTGTTTTCCCTGAACGCTGGCGAAGCTTAAAGTTTCTGCACAGAAAAGCACAGGGCTACGGTCCCCAAAGGGGACCCCCGCCTGAGGCTGCGTGGCCATCGAGCAGGGACTTCAGAACACTGCGCCTCCCACACGACTGTCACCACAGTCCGATGACAGCGGCAGAGCTGACTGCTCCCTGCCAGGGGCACACGTAATCCCTGCAACAGCCCCGTGGGTTGCGATCTTTATCCCCTTCATGCAGACCAGGCCAAGTGGGGCTCAGATTCGTTGGGCAGCTTGCCTAATACTGCAGTCCAAATTCCCAGTCACAAAACTCAGCTGCGGCCAATTCCAGAGACAGGGGCATCAAAGTCCCCTGGGGGCCAAGTCCTTACCTCTTGTGAGCTCAGGGACACCTGGTGTAGTGAATAGCTCTGAGACACTCCCCCCACCACCACCACCTACCACCAACCGTGGCTCCTGTGGGCTGAGGCTTAACCCTCAGTAAAGGTTGCTACTCATACTGTCACTTAACTCCTCAGCGTTGGGGTGCGGTGGTATAGCATGTGTGCTGGATCTCACACACCCAGGGAGGATTCTGACACCGGCAACACCCTCACTTCTACCGCCTGCTGGTGGGGTCCGGGGACCTGGCACATGCGTGTGGTCAGCCCTTGAGACCTTCCCCAGTGGTTTTCACTGGTAGCAAGGATAGACGGCCTCAGCCAGCTCCAACAGGGCTGCCAAGGGCTGCCCTCAGCGAGGTTCCCCTCTTCCTCATCAGGTGAGAGCTGGGGCTCTCTGCTGAAGTCAGTTCCATCTCAACACGGCTCTCCCAGCCTAGGGTTTATGTCTCTATTTAAAGCCCTAATCATCGAGGCTCTGGAAATCTGATGACTCGAGAAGCGCCGTGAGCCTCGCTCCACAGGAAACCCCAGCACCTGGTAAAATGAGCCGGATAAAGAACACGGGCACACAGAGCTGTTTGCTGTTCTGGCTCAAACATTAAGCCAGCTCATCATTTTGAGTCACGTGTCAGTGTGCACAGCTGAAACCATCATGCTGATGTTCCAAAGATTCAGGGCAGGTTCTTTGCAGACCATGGCAGGATACAGGAGGTGGGGAGCCCTCAGGACCACCAGAAGACACTGCCCACCTCCAGTGAAAATCCCTGTCTCAATCACAGGCCATGAAAACAATTCTACCGCAATGGCCACTGGCAGCACTCGAGTGGGAATCTCTGGGCTTTTCTAGAAGCAGGACAATGAAGAGACAGAAAAGCCACAGCCCGGCAAGAGGGCCACACTCAGCTCCCTAGGGCACACAACCGGGAAAAGTGGCTGCACCATTTCTGGTTTACAAAGAACACACTGTGTCCTGGGCTCAGAAGGGTGAAGCAGATGGCCCGAGGGGCTCCAAAGGTCAGTATCTGATCTCCTGGCTGCACATGGAAAGCCAAAGAGCTGGGTAGGCGCCCGCACGCTGCACCTGGACAGTTTGTCCAAGGCAATACTGCGGATGCAGGAGCCCCACAAGGGCCATGGGCATTCAGGCCGGCCCCCTCGCCCAAGGGGAGCTGTATGCAAGTTGTGCCCACGCCCTGCTTACATCTCATCACCCGGAGACCCGTCCCTAAGTCGGAACTGAAACGGATGTGCATTTACACAAACTCTGACCGCACGTCTCACGCACGCCATCAGTTCTAGAACGCGTCCCATATTACGCCAGTCTTCAGGTGCTGAAACCCTGGTCCCTTCCTGAGCAGGGCGGGATCTGCACTCTGCCAGCCCCCAGGAGCACACAGGCTTGGGTCAGCGGTAAGCACCCTCCACAGCAGGAAGCCTTCCCCCCAGCAGTCCCAGGCCCGGGGACACATGGATGCCATCTCAGTCCAAGGTGCCTTCCACTGAGGACCCCCAGCCTGGGCTTCCAGAGGCCCCGCACTTTGATGTTCACACCCTGTGTGCTTGGCCCAAATGCCTCCTCCCTGAGCCTGGCCCCTTTCCACCTCCAGCCCCTCCTCCCGCCATCCTCTTGGGAGACACTGGTTCTCCACACTCAGCAGTCATCCCTCACATCCCTCCATCCTGAAAATGCACCCCCAGCCCTGTCCCACATCCTCCGCCCAGCCGCCGCAGCACAGCTGCCTCCCTGTGCACCCTGCATGGAGTCCACAGCAGGCCTGCGCCTCCCCAAAAGGAGCAAATCACAGCACGCCAGGCAGCCGTTCGGCATCTTCTACAAGGTGGGGTTAACTCGGCTTCCCAGGCCTCTCAACAGACACATGCCCTCAAGGTGCGTGTCCGGTCCTCCTACCAGCTACTCTAGATTTGAAACAGATCACAAGCGTCTCAGTTGAATGCACCACTGGCTCTCAAATTCCACTTGCACCTGGGGTGCACAGGCCCCAGGGAAGGCTGCCAGCACCTCTATGGGAAAAGTCGAAGGCAAAAGCCACATCAGGGTGGACAGAGGCCATTAGTGCAGTGGCCGTTGGAACAGCAGGCCTCGCTTCCTGCAGAACAGGCCCCACGGTGGCCAGTGTCACAGTGCGGGGTACTGAGCAGGTTCCCAGAATGGAGAACCAGCTTCTTCCCAGCCCCTGAAGGGCACAGCACAGGTAGAAGCCACCTCGAGAAGCCTCAAGGTTGAGGGAAACCCTGTTCTACAGATTCTCATCCCCTAGCACTGCTCACATGGAAATGAGGGGAGCCACAGTCTCGCCCTGGCTGGGCTACCGAGGACACATGTCAGCCTCCTTCCTCAGTGGGAAAAGGCTGACAGCGGGTCTGACCAACCCTCCCCAACCATAAAGCCACCTTACTAAATACAACGCTAAGCCCCAAACCTCAGGCAGAAACCCAGGGCTCGCATGCCGGTACTTGTTCCCTCTGGGACAGGTACAGGTGGAAGGGAGCAGGTGGCTGGGATGAGGCTGTGCCACCCGTAGCCTGGGTCGGAGCCCCTGTTGCTGGGGTCTGTTCGGTTGGGAGCAGAGGGGGCAGCACCTACTGTTTCGTTTGCCTTCCTCTCCTCCTTCCTCCTCGTTCTCGGGATCGATGTCTTCAGCCTGGGTGATCCAATCCAAGTAGCCCTTGAGGTCCTCCTCTAGCTGCTGCTTCTCTCGAAGCTTCTGGAAATCTCCCCGAGCTTTCGCCTTCTCTCTTTCCTTGGAGAATTCTCTGAGGGAGGCCAAGAGCAGAGGCACATGTCAGCGCATCCCCAGGAACCCACGTCAGGCGCCGTCTGCCCTGCGGCACATGGTCTGGCAGCAGGACACACGGAGCCAAGGACAGCTACGGCAGCACAGCAACGGAAGCCACACACGTGGACAGGACAGAGCAGTGTCTTCCTAAGCAAGACCACAGGTGCAGAGGTGCGGAGGCCACAGCAACACACATGCATCGTTTCTTAGGGAAGACAGTGACACCCCGAAGTCCGCACCACAAGTACCTTGTGCTGCTGTGGCGAGCCCTGGGCATTCCCGCCGGGGGCCCCAACTCAGGGGAGGCCCGCAGACACCCAGCATCGAAGGGGCTCACGTGGGCCAAGCTATGCTCACAGAGAGCACCAAGCTGAACACTTGGCTTTGTCAAGGGCCTGGAGCAGGCAGAGGCTCCCTTCCTGGTGCCCACGCAAGCCTCCCCTCCCCACCGCCTGTGGGTTCAGGTGGAGCAGTGGATAGGGTCGGCGTAGACCCACTCGCAGCCCAGCCCTCCCCTCCCAGTCAGGAACCTCTTGCCATGATCTCTTCCTTAGACAAGGTGCCATGACTTGTTGCCCATTTATGGGAACACCTGCCCTGGAGCGGCTTTGGCAGACATGAACATGTGCACACTGTCAGCCGAGTACCTTCTAGGTGAGCAATTCTGTACTGCGCAGCCCTACAGACCCTGACGCTGGCTCAGGCAAGCTTGTGGGTCAGGTGGACGATTATGTAGTTTTTGTAGATGCGGAACCACCTGTATTTCCAACCGTGAATTGTCACAGGAGCCAAGATGTGCGAGCTGGTGAGTCGGCAAGCACAACCGCGAAGCGGCTAGGAAGGCAGGTGCGGCTCTGGGCAGGACGGCTTCCCCACCAGACCCAAGGTTCCCAGGCAGCAGCCTCGATCTCCCACCACCTTCTTGCCGGTTCAAAGCCTCCACATCTCCTCTTCAGGGGCCTGGTGAACTTGACGCAGGTGACAAACTGGGAAACGACCAGCTTTCGTCAAGCTAAGCCTCATTCTCCCTCAACTCCAAGCCATCCAGGAGCAGAACAAACAGGGGGACACTGATGCTTTGGGTAAGAAATCAGAAGACGCACCAAGGTAGCACCCACTGTCCACGAGGAGAGAGGATCCCCCTCCTCCATCATCCCACCTTTCAGCTCCCCTGCAGCCCACCTTTGGCTCTGAGGCCCTCTGCCCTCCACCCCTGGGACATAAGGATGGAGGCAGACAGCTTACAGAGGAGCAGAGGTTACGGGACAGCAGACACGCACGCTCCTCCCCAGCCCCGAAGACTCCCGCTCTCCAGGAGCACACACGCTCCCGTCTCAAACAAGCAGGTACCTGTGGAGCAGTGTCCCATTGCTCACCCAAACCACGCCCCCAGAACGGGTCAGGATTTGCAGACCAACTCAGCTTCCTGAGCTATGGAAGACATGGGACTCGGCCCTGGTCAAGGCATGACTCTCCATTCTGAAAAGGCCGCACTCCATGCAGAATCAGATCCCCGGGCGACAGCAGCAGGTCTCCCGGCGTCATGCGGCCTCGGCAGAATGCAGGAGGTAGCCTGGTTGCAGAGTGCAAGTGGACTTCCAGTCTGCCACTCGCCAGATGGCACATCCTCCGCGTGCCCTGGCGCGGGCTCAGCACGCCACGTGCAGCTTGTCACACACAAACACGCCCTTCCAAGTCTGCACGTCTATCTGCTAGACACTTTTGAGAAAAATAGTTTATGCACTTTCACACTGGAAACGTAAGACCCTTGTCTAATAAGCTGGATTCTGGATGTTGCAAAGTAGGTATCAAGGCAAAAGTGAAACTTCAACATGACCAAAATTCCTGAGAACAAAATACCCTGGTTCTTTATGTTCTGGTTTAAGGCATACCATCCTAAAGCAGTCATTGAAGTCCATACAACAAAGCCCCTCTGAACCGATCTCTAGCACTTCTGAATGGCCTTGGACTCAATGGCACATAAGCAGTGATTCGTACAGACGTGAGATTTACGAGGGGCAGTGGAGGAAGGGGACAGGCAGGTGGCGGCTGCGTGATGGACCCAGGTGCCCACAGGGCCCTTCTACAAGGCTCTGGGCTCCAGGCCTGGCTCTGCCCCTTACCTTGCCTGAGCTTTGCAAACAGACAGTGTCTATTGCCTGCTCTACGACTTCATGGGGGTTAAACATGACATCCGGTGAGAAGATGCTTTGACAAACACAAAGCGCTACACCAATGTGAAGTTCCAGTGTGAGGGTTTAGTTGTTTCCAGAGAGAAATGCAAAAAGGCTAATGGAACCACTTACTCAGAAACCAGAGAGAACCCAGGACAGCTCTGCACAGGTTCTACGCTGCTGCGATCCCATCAGGATCAGGACACCCTGGGAAGGACGCACGGATCCCAGGTCTCAGAGGGAGTGCGATGGAGCAGCGAACCCCACACAAACCCTGGGCTGCTGTCCGCTCAGTTGAAGGTAACCTGCTTGCACCGCACCCAGCCCTTCTTCCTGAAAATCTTACCCAAAAGCCACAGCTTTCAGGATGATGAAAAAGTGGCTCCACTTTGCGTAAGAGAAGGCATTCCAGGCTAAAAAGCCCGAGACTAAGAGACTGGGTAAGGTTCACAACTACGTAAGTTTACATGACAAAGATACTGGTAAAAACAGCAGACTTTTGCAAGTGACCAAAAAAAAAATCTCCAATAATTACTATACGCTGGGAGCCTACCTGCTCCAGATCCAGTTTTTGTTTATGGCGTGGCTGATAAAAAATAACAATAAAGATACCTCAGCAGTGCCTGGAGAAGACGGCACATGTTGTAGGCTGCCCTTCCCACATGGAGGAAGGGGAAATAAAGAACATGTGTATTCCTGCAGGACGCGTCTGAAGGTCAGAGGCGGGGACGCACAGGGGGGACAGGACCGACCAGCGGCACTCCGCAGGGCAGCCTCTGCTGACACACCGACTCTTGGAAGTACGCTACTGTTCTTCACATTCAAAGTGCCACTTTGACTATGACCTTGTCTAAACAAGATAAGAGTCGGAGAACTCAAGGGGCTTCCATAGCCTTGGAAACTCATGACTGTAGCATAGGGAGATTACTGATGCCATAAACAGGAGTGTCAACTTGTAAAGTCAACAACAGGAGTCACTGTGCACTTACTCCTCATGTGGGATCTCTGTCCTTAATGTGCTGTACACTGAGGCTTAATGCTATAACGAGTACTCAAACAGTATATTTCACTTTGTGTTTCTATGGGGGTGCAAACGATTGAAATCTTTACTTAATGTGGATTCAACTGATCTTCTGTAAAAAAAAAAAAAAAAAAAAGAAATTATCAATTCCCAACTTGACTCTCACTGGGATTAAACATGACAATAGGTCTGATCTGATTTCATCATCATTTAAAAAAAATCATCTATTATTTTTCACTTTATGTTTCTGTGTGGGAACAAACTGTTGAAATCCTTACTTAAGGTATGCTAAGCTGATCTTCTGTATATTAAGATAATCGAAAATGAATCTTGATGTGAATGGAAGGGGAGAGGGAGTGGGAAAGGGGAGGATTGTGGGTGGGAGGGACGGTATGGGGGGGAAAGCCATTGTAACCCATGAGTCGTACTTTGGAAATTTATATTCATTAAATAAAAGATAAAAAAAAAAAAAAACACAAAGTGCCTAAATCTCACCAACGAGAATGGGGTGGAGGGAAGGGCCCCCTAAAGAGAAAGTGAGCTGAAACAATGGGAGCTGAAACAATGGGATCTGCCCGGACCACCATGAATACCGCTGGGTTTGAATAGGACGCGGGCTCTGAGCTCATGCAGATGCTTGAACCCAGAGTCACAAGTAGTGGGACTAAGAGGGTGAAAGTCAATACACTGGTGACGTTTAGAGGGGGCCTAGGTGGCCAGGGCTGTGGAGGGGGGAATCCTTGTAAGAAGACTGTTACAAAAGCTGCATTTGCATGTCCCCGCCCCCTTTCTGAGTCCTTCCACCCTCTGCTCACGCTCTGCCATTTCCACCAGTTGCTCTCACAACAAGCCAAACCAGTGAGGTCATCCAGTCTGGAAGCTGACGCTCAAAACCGTGAGCGAAATAAACCTAGTCTCTTCATAAAGTTAACTCTCCTTAGGCGTTTCACTATAGCAGCGGAAAGCTGAGCAGTACTAACACCATCGGCCTCCTCAAAGAGAAAGACAAAACTAAGTGCAGCCGTGTTCTTGGCATGGGCAGGACTGGCAGGGAGAGCTGCAGATGAAAGCGCTGAACTCCTTTTACTCCTTCTTGTTTTCCCCTGTTTTCCCCCACAGTGTATGGATGAGACGATTCTGAAACTCTTTTCCATACATTACAGGACGTAATTAATGAGTAATGTGTCAGCGGTGTTGGGAGCCAGAGTTCTCACTGTGGAGGGCGAAACACAGAAACCTGGGGTTGAAGAAGACTACAAAGCATCCTCCGAGGGAGGACTGGATCTGGACACACAGGTGCAGACTCAGGATTTCCAAAAGTTGTCTGTTTTAAAGTCTGACTTCCAATTCTGATGTCCTATATTTCTTTCTCTTCCCTAAGTCAAAATACCCACGTTGGCAGAGGACGTGATGTTGTACATGGAAAATCTCAACACTCTACCAAAAAGCTGTTAGGACTGATGAGCCAGTTCAGTAAAGTTGCAGGTTAAAATAAAAACATACAGGCCGGCGCCGCGGCTCACTAGGCTAATCCTCCGCCTTGCGGCGCCGGCACACCGGGTTCTAGTCCCGGTCGGGGCGCCGGATTCTGTCCCGGTTGCCCCTCTTCCAGGCCAGCTCTCTGCTGTGGCCAGGGAGTGCAGTGGAGGATGGCCCAGGTGCTTGGGCCCTGCACCCCATGGGAGACCAGGAGAAGCACCTGGCTCCTGGCTCCTGCCATCGGATCAGCGCGGTGCGCCAGCCGCAGCGCGCCGGCCGCGGCGGCCATTGGAGGGTGAACCA